CGGGTTAAACGCTGCTGGCACCGGGTTAAACACTGCTGGCACCGGGTTAAACGCTGCTCTAGTCGGGCAGAGATTTAAGGGCATGAAAGCAGGCCCATCCTGAAAAGTTATCTCTGTCCAATGTGATTGCTGTGGGATTGTGCTGGTGTTATTAGGGAATTATACTCTAAGAGGTAACTTCTATATAAACTAAGACAATCGGATCTGACCAAACCCTGCCCAGACCAGTTGCCTCCTTGTTTCCAAGCCTAGCAACAAACAAGGGTTTTGATTCTTTCCCTGAACTGCTTCACAAGCATACTAATGGTTGAAGACAGTTGCGAGCTGCTCTATTATCATCATCTCATGAGAGTAGGGTAGGTATACAGGGTAAACATTATAGGTTACTAGTCACTGAATTCTAGATGTTAAGGCTAAAATGTGTTGCTCTTGAAAGTAGAGTTTTTTCTTCCATGGAAGACAGGTGGACAGAAAGTTCCCCTCCTTTTTTCTTGTATTGCAATGTCGCTAGAACAGTGACATTGCTTAATTTCAATCCACTTAAGAAGCAGGGTTCCAAAATCATAGAATCAAAGTGGTGCTTCTCCTCTGTGTGGTGCTCTCTGGTGTCCAAGCACCTGTGCATTTTTCTAGTCAAGGCAATATTGTAACTACTTTTTTAAAAGTGGACATAAAATAAATAATACTTCTCTTTTTTTTTTTTTTTGTAGAAACATACACAATTTAATGGTGGTATGAATTTGTTTTCTGCAATACTTAAAAATCATATGAATGTGTTATGTTAATAAACTTGTTTTAGGCACCTCCAAAAGCCGTACCGAAGACTATTGAAAATCAGAGAGTATATGACGAAACGACTGTAGATCCCAATGATGAAGAGGTAATTGCTTATTTTCTACATATGCTATTAAGTTAACCTTTTTCTTTTCCAAGAAGGACATAAAATGGATTGATGGAACTTAACGTTGACCACTTTACTGTTAAAGTGTGGATGAATTACTTTTTATATGTGATGGATTCATAAAGATGTGGCGTCATTCTTTCGTTGGTGACACTAGGTAATTGCCATTTGCGTTACTATTATTGATAGTAAGACCCTACAGAATAATAGAATGGTTTGGATTGGAAGAGACCCTCAAGATAATCTGGTTCCAACCCTTCTGCCATGGGCAGGGACACCTCCCACCAGACCAGGTTGCTCAAAGCCCTGTCCTTGAACACTTCCAGGGATGTGGCATCCACAGCTTCTCTGGGCAACTTCTTCCAGTGTCTCACCACCCTCGACAGTAAAGAATTTCTTCCTAATATCTAATCTAAATCTGCCCTCTGAGTCTGAAGCTTACTCCTTGTCCTGCCACTACACTTCCCTGGCTTTCCTGTAGAACCTCCTTTCCTGATAAACCTGCCAGCGTTCATCATGCGATGACCATGAATCACATGTTCATCATGGGATTAAAAATGTGAAAACCGCATGCCTTGTGATGATTATAGGATAGATCTTGTGAATTGAAATTTTCCTACTAAATTTAATTTAGAATTCAGATCAGTTTGAGTTGTTCTTCAGTCATTTCATAGATGGTTGATTAACAAGACTTAACGTTCTTCCAGGTTGCTTTTGATGAAGCAACTGATGAATTTGCACCATACTTCAACAGACAAACAGTTCCCAAGATTCTTATTACAACATCAGACAGACCTCGTGGGGTACGTATGTTGTACTTGGAAAGTTCTGAGCAATCAACTGGTTATAAGAGACCAAGGGTTTCATGCTATGATTGGTAAATTCAAGCTGAAAATAGTAGCTTTCACATGGGTTTTTCTTCTGCTGTTTGGTGACTATCGATAACCTTGTATATGTATGTAATCTACTACTTTCTCTAGCACTGTTGGTTTCCTTCATGACAAAAATCATCATGCTTATGTTTTTACTCGCTAATGATCTGCATTACATAATTGGGGAAATTACTGACATTTGTGAAAACCGTAAAAGAAGTTTTAAAAATAGGAAAAAGTACACTTCAACAGTTTGTCTGGAAACTCAGACATTAGTACCTGAAGTAGTAGTTATACTCTATTTGGAAATGTTGTGAACGTTTTGTAAATCAGTGTCCTTAATAAGTAATGACTTACGAGGTTATGCTTTTGGAATTTTCCTGCTTTTCTATGCATGGAGAAGGGAAAAAAAAATCCTTCAAAAAGAAGTCCCTGGTGTGCTGCAGTCTTGACTGCAAATAATTTTTTTTCTTCCAATGGAAGTAATTTAATAGCCTGCCTTCAAACGTTTATAGAAATGTGAGAAATAATGTGTGTTCAGTGGAGGCAGTTGAAAAGAGCGACCCTCCATTGCCCTGAGGTGTGTATTTGACGCTGCATTTACCACATCATCATTTAACTCACCTGTTTTGCAGAGAACAGTGAGATTCTGTGAACAACTGTCTTCTGTTATACCTAACTCGCACGTGTACTATCGGAGAGGACTGGCTTTGAAAAGAATTATTCCACAGTGTATTGCCAGGGACTTCACGGATTTAATCGTCATTAATGAAGATCGCAAAATACCAAGTATCCTTTTGTGTGTTTATTAAAATAGGTATACTAGCTCTGGGCCTATTAGGAAAAAATTCCATAGAGTGCATCAAAGACCTACTTTAGTCTGGGTTTTTTCTCTTCACTGTGCAGCTTACAGTGTAATTACAGAGTTAAAAATCACTGTGCCAACTCGAGTATCTGATGGCTAATGGACTGACTGAAGAAAGTGTCTTGGCTTGTTTTGTCTTTTTAGTTTGTAGTGCCTGGGTAAACATTGTTAAATTTACTGAAACCATAACAGTGTGATTAATTAACAGTTTTTTTGACCAGCAAGTTCCATTCAGTTTTGCTGACTAGATAAAACATTACTATTAATGAGTGAGAATGCAGGGGAAGGGAACTCTGCTTAGCTACTGAAACAAGATTTAACGGGCACGCTTTAGAAAGCTAGGTAACAAGTCTGTGAATACATGCTTGAAAATATAATGAAACCTTGTAAATCAGACATAGATTAGGGATATAATACTGTAACGTAATCCTCTCTTTTGCAGAAAATGTTCCTTTGTAAATTACATGTTGAATTTTACCAGCTTTTTTTTTTTAACTTGATGAACAGATGGTCTTGTTTTAAGTCATCTGCCTGATGGCCCAACTGCGCATTTTAGAATGAGTAGTGTCCGTTTGCGTAAAGAAATAAAGGTGAGAATCCAGCAGTTGAAAAAAATTGTTAGTCTGCTGTTTAATGATAAACACGCTCAGTCTGCTTGTACTGTCAAAACCAGTTGCAGTTATGTACAATTTGGCTGATCTTGTACAGGTGTGTTTTTCGAAGGCTAACAGGAGGCCGAGGACTAGTATATTCTACTTCCATAAACAACATATTTCCATTTTCATAGTTGTTTATGTGCTGATTTTCTTTAACTGTCTGCCAAATATTTTCATAGTTGTGCCAATAAACAGCAGCTGATAACCTGCATCAGTAGGGAATACCCCATGTATCGTATACACACAAAAGAATTTATAAAATTCAGCAGTATAAAAGATTGCAGTAGATGTAATCCTAGTCTTGAATAAAACTTAATTTTTCTTATTCTTACAGCCCTGTCACCTCTTCTGTAGTATTTCTTAGTTAGCCCCAAATAATTTGCAGTATTTTTTTTTTCTCTTTTGAAATAAGTAATTTTTAAGCTTCATCTGTTCTTGCTAAAGAAGAATCCTATATACTCTTACTTGGTATTAATACAGAGAGAAGACTACTGTGATAAGTAGACTGCATTATGTGCTGCAGCAGGAGCTGCCAGGAGAGGAAATCGGTGCAGGAGAGAGGAAATGTAAAATTTTTTATTCATGATTTTCATTCAGTTTATATGGTTGACCCAAAGATCCTTATGCTACCAGCTGCTCCTTTACCTGTATACAAAGTTAGGCTGTTTGAAAAAATGATTAGGGCATGCTGTCAGCTCTGTTACAAGGAGCTGGCCCTGTTTGTCTTCCCCCTAAGTTTATTTCAAACTCTTCTTTCATAACAGATCAAAATCCTTTTGCATTTGATCTATTCTTTGCGTTCTTATCTCTTACTTTCATTTCAGCGAAAAGGGAAATAGCCCACGGAACACGTACCTGAAGTAATCCTGAACAATTTTACAACACGACTCGGCCATTCCGTTGGTCGCATGTTTGCCTCTCTCTTCCCCCATGATCCTCAGTTCATCGGAAGACAAGTAGCTACATTTCACAACCAGCGAGACTACATCTTTTTCAGATTCCACAGGTAATGCTTTCCACAAAGCTCACAAATGAGAGAGAACGTTCTTGTGACTTACTTCCTAATTTTTTTTTTCTTCTTCCCCAAGATACATCTTCAAGAGTGAAAAGAAAGTAGGAATTCAAGAACTTGGGCCACGTTTTACATTAAAGCTGCGGTCTCTTCAAAAAGGAACCTTTGATTCCAAATTTGGAGAATATGAATGGATTCATAAGGTGTGTCTAAGTAATGATTATAGCCCTTCTTGTGAAGGACGGTCTGAATCTGACATGAAATGCAACCACAAATCTTAGCCCTAAAAAGTGGTATAAACGCAGTTCTCAGTGCAGAAGTGTTTAACTGAAATACGTGGAGGTATATTTTGAGAAATATGCAAAGCAGAAGCATTCTGCTGTATTGCCAGTCAGAAATAAAAACTGCAAGGATGGTATCAATATACCATGGCTACTTATTTGCAGAATGTAATTTAACATACACAGATAGAAACAAACAGGAAAAACTATCCCCTGGTAAAAGCTCTTATTGGAAGCCTCGTAAACTTGGCTAGAGCTATTTTTGTGCAAGGTTGAGTGCAGGAATCGTAACGTAAAAATGATTAAGCTATATACATAAATGTCACTTTTTAATAGTGAATGAAAAGTAACACCTCTGCACATCTTCAGGTGAAACTGAAGTACTACTCTAGGCGATGATAAATTACTTTTTCAGACATTTTTACCATGTTGATTGGCAAAATGTAGGAGCGAGGATCCAAGCTGTACTGGAAGGAAAATTCTAATACTCCTGGTATAGTCCAGGAGATGGAGATCCAGGAAATGGATCATCTTGTTTGTTTTTAAAGACACTTTACAGAGAACTGTACATGTTCTTTAGTTCTACATCACTGATTTCTGATTCTTCTCCCTTGTTAGTCTTGAGAAGCTGACTACAGATTCAACTCCCCTGTCACTGTGACATGTTTCACTGCCTACCCTACTGGTCATCCTTGTTTGTATCCTGCTGCATGAATTTGCTGGTTAATAACTTTTCTTTTAAATTTCAGCGCCGAGAAATGGACACAAGTAGAAGAAAATTTCACTTATGAGGTACTCCTGTCTGCCAGTTGCTGGTCACCAGAAGTACAACTACTTTGAACCATGGATTATCTCAGATAAAACTTTCTACAGGAGCAGATTAAGGAGGACACGTATTTTTTCTAATGTTTGTAGCTAAATCCAACGTGACAAGAACAGTGACTTTTTCCAGTTTAGCAGGAAAAACTATTGCATTGTCAGAGCAGCCTGTAATTTAGCTATCACTGAAGATTTGCCATGACCGCTGTTGTGCTGCAGATAAAATTACACTTTGCAGTATCAAAGACAATAAATACATTTGTTAAAGAGCCTCTCAAAGTACTTCTGCTCATACCACTTTTGTTTTGTTAAGCAGCTAAACCCAGATGTCTTCCATTGATCAGGTAAGAGATAAATATTTTAAAACTCTAGCATACAGTGTGCTGTTCCCTGACAGTATGTTGGTGGTTTTCTCCAAATGGTCTCTTACCTAGAGAAACGTGAGAAGGCTGTATGCAATCCAGGAAGTCTGTGGTATTTAACTAACATCTTGCATAAAAGCCATGTTGCTGAAGTTACAAAAATGACATGCTTGACTCTTCTAAAAATGTCCTATTTAGAAGAGGTATGCACCCAGAGCAGATGATATTCCTTTACATAAAAAGAAACACCACTGGGTGAATTCGTAAGGCCAGCTTACACGAAGCACCTAAAGCTATCTCATCTAAAGATGCTGCTCTGTTGAACACGTGAGGTCTCCGAGCAGGGATTTTCCCATTAATATCTTAAAAGTGCTTCTTCAGCCTCACAGCTGTGCTCAAGTTGGTTTACCTGCAGAATAAATTACTGTTCTGCCTTAAGCTTGCACATTCACTGACAGCTAAAAAGCCGTTTTCTTTTAATGACTTTTTCATATGTGGCCGTAATAAGTGTTTTTCATGTTTACCTGAAGAATAAGATGGCTCACAGCATAAGTCATCTTCTAGGGTAGGATTGCTTTTTAAGGTAAAGAGTAATTAAGTTACTCTTTATTTGATGTCTGTGACATAGGACAGCTGTATAGCTGAATTATAAACCAAGAGCCACATTTTTTTTTCTAGTATGCTTTTACGAATAATACTGATGAAGCCTTGTTATTCTGTAAGACTATCAAGCCCAGGCAAACTTGAAGCAGCACAGAATATTTAAAGAGACTTCTGTAAATGCAGTGCGGTAACTGGCGAGGTGTCCACATACCCAGAAGTTCATCAACTTGTCACAATAATTTCAAGACCAGGTTAAGTCAAGACACTTTTATTTATTTTTTTTTGCTTGGCATATAAAACTGATTCCCTTATGAAACAGAAGTATTGTAACTAGCATACAGTTCATTTGGAGAGGTAGATGGTAAGAGGTTTGACAACAGGAGCAATTTTACAGTTAGATTTGGCACGTAAAAGCTAAGCTTTTGTACAGACTTCAAACCAGGCCACTCCTTGAGGCACTTTGCCCATACACACATCAGCAGCTAGGAAAAGATGCTAGAAGATCTGAAAAACAACAAAAAAAATGTAGTTAGAAGATGAAGCAACTCTGTGTTTAAGAGCATGAACCTTCAGAGTATGCCACGGACAGCTATTTAGAAGAAATAAACCCCTCTTTTTCCACATATGTTTTATAAAAGTATTAGTTTATAAAACAAACTTCTATAACTATGAAACTGTCCCAAAGGGCACAAGAAGATAATCAAGGCAGTTACAAAAGAACTGAAGTTTAGTGTTTCGTGGAAGGACAGAAAATGTTCTCAGTCACTTGGTGCCCACAGAAATACCGGGCAGCTACTTTGCCTTTGAAAAGCAGGAGTGTCTGTAAATTACACTTCCTCTGTTTGCTCATCATGAAAACACCAGGATTACAACTAAGAAATGGCCTATTTTGAGGATGTGCTTGCCGTAGACACAGTGAAAGAAAGAAATTTTCCATGTAGGTAGTGTAACTAAACCCACTGTTCTAATTACTTTTGCCTGTAACATTAGCAGAAACAAGTGCTCTGTTCTAAAATCAGAAAGGGAGAAGGTAAGGGCTGGAACTGAGAAAGAAAACATTAAACCTTTTTATGCCCTGTGTATGCACACGTGCGAGAGAGAGAGAGAAAACATTATTTCCTGACATCCACACCTGGGAATTACTAGACCTTGGCAAAGCTCAGTGGGGAACTGTATGTGCCACTGATTAAGGTACAGTTTATTTGCCTTTTTACAGGTTTTCAGTCTACAATGGATACAAATGATCTGATTTCTTCCTTCAGTTACTGCTTAAAGCTGAAGCCACAGTAGCGTGAACGTAAGTCAGTGTCCAAGAATAGTATCTTTTAAAAAAGAATAGTTGATAAAATTCACAGTAGAAGTAACTGTAAAAGCTACAAGAACTCTGAAGCACATTTTAGTTATGCTGCTGTAATTCACCGCTCAAAACAATGGGGAAGTGTTTTAGTTTGTTAAATAGTTAAGCATCAGCCTCTACACTGTTACTACTCTGGTCTTTACTAGTATGAACCAACCTGTTTGTATATACATAAACTAAACGTGACTTTCTACAGACTGCTTGAGGGGAAAACAGTTTTACATAGCAATTTTAACAACTCACTCTGACTGGTCACTTTTCTATAAAGCTGCCTAAATAGCACAGGTGTAGCAAATTACCTCGGGTGATACACAGCAGCTACAAAAGCAGAATTCTTCAAGGTTAGGACTTGCTGTGAGATTTCTAAAGATTGTCATCTATGGTTATCTGCGTATCAGATGCCTGAAGGTAACAGACATGCTCTCGCCCTCAAAGAGATCCAAGTCAAGAGGCAATGGGGGAAGGGGGACACAGTACAATTATCACGCATTTACCATGGGCAAAACATCAAACTATTGGGACTCCCAGAGTCTCGGTGAGACCACTGTGGATCTAAATCTCACCTTTGAAATAGGTTAGTCTATAATCACCAGAATTTCAGAATGTCTGATTAGTAGTTTCATAGTGACAGAAGTAGTGCTAATGAACCTATAAAAGTTTTGGAATGAAAATCTAAAGGAATATTCAACTGTTTTAGTTAAACTGCTACCCATGTAGCAGTTTATTTGAGCGGACTGTGGCTCTTCATACAATTACAGGGCTACATTGGTTTTTTTCTTTTGGATTAGAGGGTGTGTCCTATAGCAGGGGAGTGCTGGTGGAGACCACCACTAGCCTCTAGAAGTGCTCTTTACAGTTTTAAAGTCTGCTTTATCTGCCACAATCTGGATTCACCATTTTTGCTGTCAGGCAAGTAATCCTGTGTGAGAAAAGGGAAATAATGCTCTTACACAGAAGGAGAATTACTGTACAACCAGGTTAGATCACACAGCAGCTCAGTCGTACTTGGCCCCACTACTCCTTTGCTGCAGGAGCAGACACTGATGGAAGCTGTGCAGCAGCTGGATGCTGTTCATCCTGCGAATGAACTGCATGTGTCTAGCACAGAGCTACAACCAGAGCAGAGGAGAGTGGGCCCAAAATGGGGATTTAGATAAACACCACCTGCAGAAGTCACGTCTGAGTACTTTTTAATACACAGTCTCATTTAAGCCAGCATTTTCAATGACAGAACTGTTTATGAATCATAATTCGAGAACTTACCACTAAAAGATACTGAAGTAGTTCACGTAATTACAAAAATGAACAAACTTTCTGGGGTCTGAAAGGATTTGTGCTTGATGACACTCCTGTCAGTAGGGGATCATGTTGTGCATTTTGCAGGCAGAACTGCTTCAAGTCTGCTGCAGCCTGAGAAACCTAGTCATAATAAAAGTTGGCATTAGAATTCACTGAACACGCTTTACTGAGGATGTAACTGCAACAGAAAGCATCAAGAAAACTGCTGTATGATTCTGCAATATAGCATACACGGGTTTTATTCAGCACTCAGCAATTTCTGGTTTCTCAAACACAGTAAGTTGCCCAGTATTACATTAAGAATTAATTTGGAAAGTTTTAATGTTAAAACTGCGCTTGAAGGGTGACAGATGAGCAACATCTTGGAGACAGCCTAGTTAAATGCACAAAAATCCTTGTTCTAGCATGAATTGCTTTAAGATATAGCCCTTAGTTTAAGCGCTCTGTCTGACTGAACTGGCTCTTCACCTCCCCTTGGAAACCATCCCATGGTGGGGCAGCACGGGGGGCTGGAACTGCCTGAAACCACACCAGTCTGGCTGTTCTTTGCTGTACCTCCGAACTCATAAGAAACAGCGATCAAAGTTTCAGAAGGAAGCATCTCCACTGGTATCTTGTGTTTGGCCTTTCCGCGGAGTTTCTGCCATCTCTGAGCGAACACGCCCCAGCGGGACGCGCTCGGTGTCTGTCTCGCCGCGAGTCTCCATTTCACAGCGCCGGGGCCAGCCCAGCCAAGGCAACCTGTTGTGAGCCCTTCTCACCGCGGCCGGGACACCGACACCCTCCTCGGAGCGAGGGCCCGGGA